TTTCATAGATACAACTTTAGGAATACAGTGGTTCTTTCCCCCATACCCACCCTCCCCTCTCAACTCCCATCCCACTTCCCTCTCCCTCTCCCATCTCCTTCCTCATTATAGTTCATTTTAGTTTGATTTTATATACAGAGGACCAACTCCATGTTAAGCAGATTTCAACAGTTTGCAGTCACGCACACATACACATACCCCATATAGAGTACAGTTTGGGAACAAAATTTGCAGCCAATTCTCATAATACAACTCATTAGGGACAGAGATCCTATATGGGGAGTAAGTGAACAGTGACTTCTCGTTGTTTTAACAATTAATATGCCTATTTATGACGTCAGTGATTATGTGAGGCTCTTGCCGTGGGCTGCCAAGGCTATAGAAGCTTTTTGTGACCATAGACTCCATTGGTATTTGGTGGCCATAAGCAAAGTGGATGTTCTCTCCTCCCTTCAGAGAAGAGTATATCCTTCTTTGAAGGTCCTTTCTTTCCACTGAGGTCTCACAGAGATCTTCCATGTAGGATATTTTTTGCAACAGAGTCTGGGCTTTCTATGCCTGAAATGCTGTCACAGGCCTTCAGCCAGACCAGGAAGCCTTAAGGGTTGATTCTGAGGTCAGAGTGTTATTTACAGCGAATGTCATTCTAGGAGTCTGCTGTGTGGACTGCTTCCCATATTGGACTTTCCTTCTTTTTAAATTCTATTATTATTACCAGGCACTTGATGTTATTTACATGATCACTTTTATACTTAAAACTATCTATATGTTGACTTTAACATTTAATATGATCATTTTAACAGTTAAGATGGCATTTATACCACCGATTTTTAGGGGTTTGGAGTCTCATGACAAGTTCTTAGGATGTACCCTTAGAAGTACATCTGAAGGACTGTATGCAGAACTATACTGCTTTACAGTTATAGACTACCTCCTCCATCTCTTATTTCCCCTCTCATTTTTAATTGAGATCTTTTCCATTGGACTTAAAATACGTATGATTAACTATGTACATAGAATTCAGCATACAGCAGGAAGAAGAGAAAAGAAAGAAAGCAAACAGAGAAAACAAAACAAAACAAAACAAAACAAAAAGGATATACAAAATAAAAAGTAACAATGATAAACTGTCACTCAGTCCGGTCAAGGACTATTCAAGTCATTGATTCTAAAAGTGTCAATTTCGCTTCTATAGCTTTCATTTTAGGAGTGCTATTAATTCTCCCAAGTCAGGGAAAACATATGGTATTTGTCTCTTTGGGACTGGTTATTTCATTAAGTATAAGGTTTTCCAGCTTGCCCCATTTTGTTGCAAATGACTAAATCTCATTCTTTTTTATTGCTGTGTAGTATTCCATAGTGGACATATCCCACAATTTCTTTATCCAGTCTTCGGTTGATGGGCATTTAGGTTGCTTCCATGTCTTAGCTATTGTGAACTGAGCTACAATAAACATGGAGCTGCAGATAGCACTTCTGTTTACTGATTTCATTTCCCTTGGGTAATTTCCAGGAGTGGGATGGCTGGGTCACATGGTAGGTCCATATTCAGATTTTTGAGGTATTTCCATACTGTTTTCCGTAGTGGCTTTTCCAGTTTACATTCCCACCAATAGTGGGTTAGGGTGCCCTTTTCCCTACATCCTCTCCAGCATTTGTTTTTGTTGATTTCTGTATGAGGGTCACTCTAACAGGCATGAGGTGAAACCTCATTTTTTTGAAGTATTCTGTTCTTTGAACACCATCAGGATTCACATTTTTATACAAACCTGATTCATGAAAATGTAATTTTGTATTACTCATCTAGTATTATTTCACATTAGAAAAAGGCAAGGCTCCTGGCTGCTAACATACATAGCTGAAGCACCTTAAAAAATGTTCTTTTAAAAATGAATAATTTTATATTTAATTCAATAGTAAGAAGGCCTGGTAAAATATTAGAAAAATATGATAAGCGATCACAACTCCAAGACAAAACAGCCAATGATATATAACATGTAAATTCAATTAATATCAGCATTAAATTCTTAGTATAAGTCATATCCAAAGTCAAAATACATAATACAATGATCACATTACATCAGACCTACATTCATTTGATCTACAATCATTCATTCATCAATATTTACTTAGCAGCTGTTATAGCTCAGGTCATGTGGCTAGGTTACTGAAAGACAGAGGGAAATAAAGTTCCTATTGGCATCAAATAATCATATAAACTGATTATATCTAAATATTACATAATAATTATTTTATTTAGATGTAAAGCCAAGCAAGAAATAGGGGGCAGAGGGAACTGACAATATGTTTTCAAGGTGTTTCAATGCAGGGAGAAATAACTTTAAGGATGTATGCACTTGTGGCCGGCGCTGTGGTGCAGCGGGTTAATGCCCTCACCTGAAGCACTGGCATCTCATATGGATGCCAGTTCTAGTCCTGGCTGCTCCTCTTCTGATCCAGCTCTCTGCTATGGCCTGGGAAAAGCAGTGGAAGATGGCCCAAGTCCTTGGGCCCCTGCATCCACGTGGGAGACCAGGAAGAAGCTCCTGGCTTTGGATTGGCGCAGCTCTGGCTGTTGTGGCCATCTAGGGAGTGAACCAGCAGATGGAAGATCTCTGTCTGTCTCTACCTCTCTCTGTAACTCTGTCTTCCAAATAAATAAAATAAATCTTAAAAAAAAAAAAAAAGAATGCATACCCTGGTTTTCAGTTCTGGCTATACAGAGTAATCATCTTTCAGCTTTAGAAAATAAGAACAAAAACTAGATGTTCTTTGAAGACATATGGGGCCAGATTAGTGGAGGATGAAGTAGCGGGAGAAGAATAAACTCTGGGAAGGATTTCTGGAGATAATGTTTGAGTGCAGGTAAGTAGGCACCAGCCAAGTAAAGAAAAGAAATATGGATATTCAAGGAGTAGAAAGGATATATGATAAGAGAAAAACAATGGAGGAACGGAGTAGAGGGGCAATCATAAATGGGTTACAATAGGTATTTGGATTTTAACCTACAAGCAATGATTAGCCACCAAAAGAATTAAAGCAAAATACTAAGAAAACCCAATTGTAAAGAAACACTAGTATGGTGTCATGAAAAGGCTACAGGCAAGAAGGCTAGCACAAGGCTGTAAACGGATGAAATGGAAAATCAGGACTATGATACAGCTTAAAAGCATAGATTAGGGAATCAGCAGTTATACACACCTGATCCTATGAACAAATGAGTTCTTCAGAGAAATATTATTAAAAGATTGCTAAAGATGGAAGCTTAGGAATGTTCTTTAATTTCTGCAACTCTAATCTAACTGCAATCTTACTCTAATCTAGACACTATACTAAGCCATCATTAACAATTTTTTCTCAATATATGGAAGGACTACATTTCAGAAAAATCAACTGTAAATTGAATCAATGTATGATATTATATGGAAGGTATAAGGTTATTTTTTTTTTAGGATGTATTTATTTGAAAGTCAGAGTTACACAGAGAAAAGGAGAGGCAGAGAGAGAGAGAGGTCTTGCATCCACTGGTTCACTCCCCAGTTGGCTACAATGGCCAGAGCTCTGCTGATCCAAAGCCAGGAGCCAGGAGTTTCTTCCAGGTCTCCCACACGGGTGCAGGGGCCCAAGGACTTGGGCCATCTTCTACTGCTTTCCCAGGCCATAGGAGAGAGCTGGATCAGAAGTGGAGCAGCTGGGACTCCAACCGGCGCCCATATAAGATGCTGGCACTGCAGTGGTGGCTTCTACCAGCTATGCCACAGCTCCAGCCCCAAGGCTGTTTTTTTAAGGAAAAAACAAACAAACAAACAAACAAAACCAAACACTTATAGGGTGGTTATTGTGGTGCAGCAGGTTAATCTGCCTGCTTGGGATACCTGGCTTGAATCTCGGCTACTCTGTACTTGGGATCCAGTGGATGATGGCCCAAGCACTTGTGTTCTGGCCACCCACATAGGACAGCTGGATGGAATTCCCAGCTCCTGGTTTCACCATGGCCCAGCCTTGCCCACTGTGGGCATTTGGGGAACAAACTAGTAAATAAAAGATCTGTTTCTCTCTGTCACTCTGCTTTCCTAAGTAAGTGAATTTTTATAAAAAATAACATGTGAACACAACAGAAGAGGGAGCTCCAGAGTTAGGTAGCTGTAAAGGCTATCCTGGCCTCCTCAACGAAAAATACAGGGCCTGGCACTGTGGCGCAGTAGGTTAATCCTCCACTTGCAGTGCTGGCATCCCATATGGGCGCTGGTCTAGTCCCGGCTGCTTCTCTTCAGATTTAGCTCTCTGCTATGGCCTGGGAAAGCATCTTCTAGATGGCCCAAGTCCTTGGGCCCCTGCACCCATGTGGGAGACCCAGAAGAAGCTCGATGGAAGATCTTTCTCTCTGTCTCTCCCTCTCTCCGTCTGTAACTCTACCTCTTAAATAAATAAATAAAATCTTAAAAAAAAAAAAAAGAGTGCAATCATGAGCACCGTTTAAAACTATCACAAGAAAATAGAGAATGTGGAGTAGAATGTCTTTGTAGCATAAAATAAATTAAGAAAACCCCTGCATGGCTCTCTTTAGAAAAACCTGATTCAACATTTAAAGATCAAGAGATTTCACATAAAAATCCAGATTTTGACAGTCCTATGTGCACCACAATGGGCTGGAATGCTGTAGTGTTGCCTCTTTCAGGAGAGGCATGGAGCTCTCATGGTCACCACTCTCTAGACTACTTCCTTTTCTTAATATATTGTGGGCCTGCCTTGTTAGGTATTTGTGTTTGTGATCACTAGTTATGGCCTGACACTGTTCTGAAAGTGGTCTTCCTCTTGTTGGACCAACACAGAAGAAGAGCAGCAAAAAGATGGTCTCTATGAGCCAAAATTATTCAATTTTGCAATGAAAGAAGCAATCCCCAGCAACCTGACCAATATTTTTATTTTTTACAGTACAGAAATAAAATGCTACCTGCATATTTTAAAGTGCTTTACTTTAACAAAGCAGTAAGGTTTACCTTCAGATCCAGGCTGCTAAGGCTGACAACATCATCATCTTTATCTCTCCGTTTTCTTTTCTGTAAGAAAAAAAGATTCATTCTCACATAGAAGGAACGTATATTACCCCATTCAAGAAGGGTCTATACAACTAGAAAAACCACTTTTAAAAAGTTAACCCTTTGGCTGCACTCACAAGAAAATTATTTTGATGAGAGACATTCACATATACTCTACACAGTCCTCCTAACCCCCACTAGTCATCTTCTGCTGTGTTGTGAGTCTACTCTATTAAAACTTACTTATATAAAGATTTTCAGAACAGAACTTTTAGGTAAGTCCAAGGCTGTCTGTACTTGTTAGATAAAAAGCAAAATATGTTTTATCCAGAAAAGCAATATATTTTTTAAAAAAGGAACACATATTATTTATCCTCTTGGAAGGGTAGGGGTGTTCACTTGAAAAGAAAATATCTTTTTTTCATGGCTCAGATTTGTTGCCCGAAGCAGAATTTATTAACTAAGCTCCAGGATTTTTTAGATGAACATCCACAATGCTGGAGTACTTGACCATAATCATTCATCCCTTCTGGCACCAATAAGAGCCAAACTGTCATATTTACCATTTCTGGGTCTTAATGAATACTGAATATGCACCCTTAAGTAATATTTCAATATTCTTCATTTCAAAATAGCCTTTCAGATTATTTGTGACACAGCCTAGTCTAGTGATCTCTTAAAAATGACCAACCAGGGCTCTCTTCCAGTTCCTGGGATTACACAGGAGGAAAAAAAATGGGAATCAAAACAAAATTAATCAGGAAAAGGTCAATAAGGAAAAACAAAATGCCCAAGTCCAGGTAGAAGTGGGGCAAGTATCAGAGCTAAGAGGTCTCAGAAAGCAAGATACCATGAAAACAACAGAGGGAACTCTGTGAGATAAGAAGTTATTTGAACCAAGCCTCCTTATAACAGTTGAGGAAAGGGACCATCGTTGTGGCATGGTGGGTAAAGCAGTTGCATTCCATATTGGCATCCCATATAGTTTCATGTTCTGGCTGTTCCACTTCTGATCCAGCTCCCTGCTAATGGCCTGGGAAAAGCAGTGGAAGATGGCCCAGGTGCTTGGGCCCCTGCGCCCACATCAGGGACCTGGAAGAAGCTCCTGGATCCAGGTCCAGGCCCAGGCCCAACCCCTGCCCAGGCTATTGTGGCCATCTGGAGAGTGAACAAGCAGATGGAAGGTGTGTGTGTGTGTGTGTGTCTCTCTCTCTCTCTGTAATGCTTTCAAATAAATAAATAAATCTTTAAAAAGAAGTTGAGAAAAAAAAGAATAGAAAATTATCAAAGTCAAATCCTATATAAAAATCACTCTAAGAAAAAAGAGGATAAAGGACAGAATACCACTCCATTAGGGTAGGGGTGGAGAGTGGCTGGCCTGCAGGCTATATAAGGCCCACGGAATCATTTGGTCTGGCCCCACCAGGTAGGACTCAAAATTCGATAAATCTATTTTTAATTTGATAATTTTTAAGTTGATAATTACAAAATTATGGCCCATGAATGTTATAAATATCCCAATGGCCTATGTGGAAAAGAGGTTTCTCACATTTGCAGTAGAGAATGAAAGCATACCAGAAAGAAATGCTTAAAGAGGCAGAGCAAAAATTATAATATACCATTTCAAATTCAGCTAAAAGATACTAAGATAATCCAAAACAAGAACTAACAATATAAATAAGAATTGTAAAGACTAAAAATGAGGTGACAGAACTCAAGAAATCTTTACTGATTCCAAGGTCATATCTTGGAAGATGCAGGAAAGTATGAATAACATGATCCCTATTTTGGAAAGCTATGTAATACAATATCCTTATATGTGTATCTTTATGATTAGTAAATAATAATTTGAAGAAAATACAGAGGGATACATAAGATATTGTTGACATGGCTTAGAGAGGAGGTTGGGGATGGAAGGACTCATTAGGGGAAGGAAAAGGGAGGAGAGGGAGGAAAATGGCAAGCAAAATGAACAAAGCATGTATATGATTATCCTTACACAACTATCTGAAACTGAATACATGTGAGTATGTGAAGAAATTTAACAGATTTTGAAAGTACTAACTTTGTTTCTTTTAATTATTTTCAAGTTTTGTCTTTCATATTTATTGCTTTAATCTATCCAGAATTTATTTTTATATGTATATGGCATTGGGTAAGAACATTAACTGCTACCACCCCTAACATCATTTGTACAGAGTCCCATTCCTTCTTCAAGTCTGTGAAGTTCTCATATATATGTGGGCTTCTTTCTTGGTTTCAAATTTTGTTCTACTGTCTATTTGTCCATCTCTGTGCTCATATCACACTGAGTCCTAATAACTATCACAGTAAGACAAGTGCTCCACAGCTTGTGTACTGTTTTTGGTCTTCTGGGCTATGTACTCTCTCACATGACTTGCAGAATGAGATCTAGTAAACTAATGACATAACTATTAAAACTGTACTAAAACTTATGGAGTAATTTACAAAGAACTGACATTTTTATACGGAGTCTTTCATTGCATGACTACGCATATAGTACTCATATAGCTCTCCATTTAATTAGGTACTGTATGTTTTCATTAATTTTTTACAAACTTCCCCATCAAGGTTTCACACATTTTTTTCAAGGGTTACTAGTTTTCAAGTTGTTACTATTTCAATTAGAGGGTCTTCAAAATTTACAATTGCTTATTTATTGCTAGTATTTACACACACACACACACACACACATACATTCCACTGGTTTAATTATAAATATATATTTTCCTAGAAAATAAGGTCCAAAATTTTAAAATAGATGGGGGATATAATTCTAAAAAGGAAAAGAACCTCTAATATAAATGATCTATTAACTATCTCAAACTGTAAAGTTATATGACTTTCTCATTAAATATTACAAAATATATATGAAGTATATATAATATGAAATGTTATGAAATGTTAATTTCAAAGAGATTTTTATGGTCAAATACTTCACAATTAGCATGGATTGAAATGTAATAGATACTATTTTGAACTTCAAAGAAGAATGAGATTAACTTCTGTTTGCAAAACAGCACTAAAATAAACATTTCCTTCATTTCTGGCCTTTGGTCATTGCCTTTTAGAAGTCAAAAAAGGAATGAACTTTATGTTACCACAAGGGCAACACAGCACAAACTACAGATGTGCTTGGATCCAGGAAGGCCACATCATCCCTCATCACATTAAAGCATTGTTTTCAAACAATGGGCATCTCAAGCTATGCTTCATCATTTATAGGAATGTTCTGTCTCCAGTTTGTACCAGGTCATTCAATTTTTTTCCCTTTTTTTAAAATTAATATATGGGGCCAACGCCACGGCACAGTAGGTCAATCCTCCACCTGCAGTACTGGCATCCCATATGGGCGCCGGTTTTAGTTCCAGCTGTTCCATTTCCAATCCAGCTCTCTGCTATGGTCTGGGAAAGCAGTAGAAAACGGCCCAAGTCCTTGGGCCCCTGCACCCACGTGGGAGACTGGACAAGTGCCTGGCTCCCGGCTTCAGATTGGTGCAGCTCCAGGTATTGCAGCCATTTGGGGAGTGAACCAACGGAAGAAAGATCTTTCTTTCTGTCTCTCCCTCTCACTGTCTGTAACCCTACCTCTCCAAACAAATAAATAAAATCTTTAAAAAAATATAAAGTAATAGATTTCATGCATTCCATAGGTAGAGTCCCAAGAAGACAACCACATTTCCCTCCCTCTCCTCTCTTCCTTTCATCAGTTTTTTGAAAAGACATAATTTTAATCCATTCGATATTCACATGCTTAATTCAACACTAACCAAAATATTCAACAAGTAAAAAGGAAAACCAAAGTTCCACAGAAGTATAAACAAGGACTAAAAATGACAATCATGTCACAAAATGATTTTTGTTTTTAAAGATTTATTTTATTTATTTTGAAGGACAGAGTTACAGAGAGGTAGAGACAGAGAGAGAGAGAGAGACAGAGAGAGGTCTTCCATCTGCTGGTTCACTCCCCAGATAGCCGCAATGGCAGGAGCTGCACCGATCCAAAGCCAGGAGCCAGGAGCTTCTTCTGGGTCTCCCACATGGGTGCAGGGGCCCAAGGACTTGGGCCATCTTCTACTGCTTTTCCAGGCCACAGCAGAGAGCTGGATGGGAAGAGGAACAGCCGGGTCTCAAACTGGCACCCATATGGGATGCCGGTGCTTCAGGCCAGGGTGTTAACCCACTGTGCCACAGCGCCGGCCCCACAGAATGATTTTTTTAAAAGTTTATTTATTTGAAGCCGATGTTGTGGCATAGTGGGTAAAGCTACTGCCTGACAATGGCATCCCATTTGTACACTGGTTCTAGACCCGGATGCTCCACTTCTAATCCAGCTCCCTGCTAATTTGCCTGGGAAAGCAGCAGAAGACGACCGACGTGCTTGGACCCCTGTATTTATGTGGGAGATCTGGAAGAATCTCCTGACTCTTGGCTTCAGCCTGGCCCAGTCCTGGCAGCTGCGGCCACTTAGGGAGTGAAACCAGCTAATGGAAGAGCTCCGTTTTTCTCTGGCTCTTCCTCCCTCTGTGTAAATCTGACTTTCAAATAAATAAGTAAATCTTTTTAAAAAAAGTTTACGTCTTTGTCTTTATTTATTTGAAAGGCACAGTGAATTAATGAGTGAGTAACAGAGACAAAGAGAGAGACACAGAGAGATTCTCCATCCTAGACTAGGCCTGGAGGAAGCCAGGAGCCAGAGATTCTGTCCAAGTCTCCCAGGTGGGTGGCAAACACAAAAAGTACTTCAGCCATCATCTCCTGCTTCCCAGGATGTGCAGTAGCAGGAAGCTGGATAGAAGCAGAGACAGGACCCGATTCCAGTCACTACAATGTGGGATGTAGGTGTCCCAGGCAGCAGCTTAAGCTGCTGAGCCACAACACCTGCCCCTTTAATGAGTCTTAGAGCCAATGACCTTGCTTGAACTCTTTAATTTATTATCTGCTCTTAACATTCTGTTGAATAGACACATTATAAGTAAAGAAATCATACTATCTCTTCCTTTCTACTTTGTGTATCTTTTTTTTCTCAGTGTGTTAGTTTACTGTGTTGCTAAACAGACAGCCATGGTAGGCTTCTTTTTAAGTCTAAAGGAAATGTTTAACATTTTCATTACATTTATTGCTTGTGATAGGTCTCAGGCTAGGGAAATTCTCTACTATTCCTGGTTTACCAAAAAGTTTATTATGAGTGGGTACTGATATTATTTTCTTCTACTCTTAGATTTCTTTCAATTTGTTTTGGTTTATTCTACATTCTTTTTCTAGTGTATCTTGAGTTTTACCCTTAGTTCATTAATTTTTGTCCTTTTCTGGAACTATAAAATTAAAATTTATAATTTTCCCTCTTAGTTTTCCTTAATCACATACCAGAAGTTTTTTGTTTGTTTGTTTGTTTGTTTTTAAGATTTATTTATTTACTTGAAAGGCAGAGTTACTGAGAGGCAGAGGCAGAGAGAGTTCTTCCATCTACTGGTTCACTCCCCAGATGGCTGCAATGGCCGGAGCTGTGTGCCGATCCAAAACCAGGAGCCAGGAGCTTCCTCCAGGTCTCCCACATGGGTGCAGAGGTCCATATTCCAGAAGTTTTAATATATGAGCCATAAGATATTTCTTTTGGTTTGCCCAAGTATGATAGACGCATAGGAAAATGTTAGAACTATTTTTTTAATGTATTTTAAGTACTATAAAATAGGCTTTACTAATCATAAGCAGATTATAGTTCATTATTATTTACATTATAGTTTAAATAACAGTGTTTGAATCAGATCCAATACATCAGTCCCAAACTCTGAAACTGTCATGGCTATTTATGCTCTCATTAAACTTACTCTAAGTGAATATAGGTTGACTATGCCTTATTTGAAATGCCTGGGACCAGAAGTGTTTCAGATATTGGATTTTTTAGATTTTGGAATATGTGCATTGACTTTATGGGCTGAGCATTCCCAACTGGAAAATCTAAAATCCACAATGCCCCAAAATCCAAAACTTTCCAAGCATCAGGTTAATGCTCAAAAAATTTCAGATTTAAAGCACTGAAGATTTTGGGTTTTCAGATTAGAGATTCTCAAACTGTATAGTATACCTTGAGATATTAGCTCACAACAGTCATACATATAAATTAGAAACATACCATGAATAAATGCTCAAAATATTTCTGATATTACAAATGTCTTGGAGAGCTTTTTCTACTCAAGTTTTTCTGTTTGTTTAGGCTCACTGACGTGTAAGGGAAAGGGGCCAAGATGGCAAACATTTCAAAGGACTATGGAAAATGGCATTAAAATCATGAGATTCTTGCTATGAATGTTTTCCTCGCCAAATAACGTAATGGATATAATAATATGTAAATCTTGGAGCTGGCATTGTGATACAGTGGGTTAAGCCACCACTTATGACACCAGCATCCCATTGTGTCAGCTGGGAGTCCTGGGTAATCCACTTCTAACCTGGCATTTCAATGATGTGCCTGGAAAGGCAGCAGCAGAAGATGGCGTATGTACTAAGGCTTTTACAACCCATGTGGGAGACTGGAACAGAATTCCCGGTCCTGGCTTTCAACTGGACCAGAACTGGCTAAGGAGGCCATTTGAGGAGTGAACCACCGCATGTAAGATCTTTCTCCTTCCCTCTGTCTGTTGCTCTACCTTTCAAAAGAATAAATAAATTAGCACATAAATCTTAAAGAAAACACCAGCAACCAGAAATCTGAAACGGGAATGCTCAACAATCAAAACATTATATATATAACCTTCCATCAAGCAGTTTTATATATATATACATATATATATATTTTTTTTTTTTACAGGCAGAGTGGACAGTGAGAGAGAGAGACAGAGAGAAAGGTCTTCCTTTGCCGTTGGTTCACCCTCCAATGGCCGCCGTTTCCGGCGCACTGCGGCCGGCACACCGCGCTGATCCGATGGCAGGAGCCAGGTACTTATCCTGGTCTTCCATGGGGTGCAGGGCCCAAGTACTTGGGCCATCCTCCACTGCACTCCCTGGCCACAGCAGAGAGCTGGCCTGGAAGAGGGGCAACTGGGACAGAATCCGGTGCCCCGACTGGGACTAAAAGCTGTTATAGATTGCATACAAAAATAACTTGATGTTTGATGATATGCATTCTTAAATTTAACATTGTTAGAATAAGAGAAAGGACTGCATAAACATTAACAGATATGAGTACTTTGCAAAATATCTTTTATATTTACTTGAAATTAGATGGTCATAAAATTCTGTCCCTCAAAATGCTCAGAAGTACAGACAACCCAATTATACACTACACTGAAAGACAAGCCAAGAATTAATTCTATCTAATGCTTCAAAATAAAAAATATAGTTATCTACTCACCAAAGTAAAATCCCAATGGGGGCCAGGTGTTAAAAATGTGAAGGAGCTACCTCTCCGAAGGGGATATCTGTTAATAGAAAACAAACAATAAACACAAGTAACATTAGTATAATAAAAGCATTGTATTTTAAAAAGTTATTTTTCATAGTTTCCAAACTTTTTAAAAGTTGCCTAGTCATCCAACCTTAGAAGTAAAAGAGATAATATGTAAAAATTAAACAAGGTATAGGTTCTGGTGATTCTGAGAATCTCTGCAATCAAAGAGCCTATATAAAATTAGAATAGGTTATTAAAAAAAATACAACTCACCAAACTAATCAGGGTTTATCTTGGGAATATATACATGATCCAATAATACAAGATCTAGTAGTAATACTCTATATTGTATTACTAAGTTAAATAAAAATGAATTAACTTTTTAGCAGGTGCAAAAAATATGATAAAGATACTCTTAATAGATATTTGCATTTCATTTTGGTTAGTCCTTCTGATTTAAGAAAATTACAATTTAATACAGCCAAATTAAAAACTTCTAAATAACTACATTTGAGACAAAGGTCTCAAATGAGAATAAAACATGACTAAATGTTGCTCTTTATCATTGAGTGACAGACTTTTCTTTTGTGTTTTCTTTCCATTCACTGTAAAGAAATTAAGCAGTGTGGCAGGCACTGTGGCGCAATGGGATAAAGCCCCGGCCTGCAGCACTGGCATCCCATATGGGAACTGGTTTGAGTTTCAACTGCTCCACTTCCGATACAGCTCTCTGCTAACGTGCCTGGGAAAGCAGCAGAAGATGGCCCAAGTGCTTGAGCCCCTGCACCCACGTGGGAGACACTCAAAGAGGAGTGTGAAGCTGTACACTGGGGAAAGGGAAGGCTTCAGGTATGCCTTGACTGGAAGCTGTTGGCAAGACAAGTGGCAGGAAGGCTAACTAGAAGCAGGCAATCTACTGTGCACGGTGTTAGGATACATATTTGATTTTCTCTAGTTAGTTCTAAGCTGGAAGCAAGATAAATTTCAGAAACTGGCATTTATTAATGAAACCCTGGCCAACTCTTTAGGCCAAATATTCCAGCAGCTATTATTTAACTTTATGGATTGTCAGGCTACTGTCCATTTATACATTTGGCCTCACCTTTGATCTCCATACTCTCTGTTCACTCTAAGTTTTGGAAACACCACAGGTGGCTGTCGTTCTTGTAAAAATTTACAGGCTTGGGAACGGCACTTTGGCATAGCAGGTAAAGCAGCCATCTGCAGTGCTGGTATCCCACATGGCCACCGGTTTGAGTTCTGGCTGCTCTGCTTCTGATCCAGCTCTCTGCTGTGGCCTGGGAAAGCAGTAGAAGATGGCCTAAGTCTTTGTGCCCCTACACCACATGGGAGACCAAGAAGAAGCTCCTGGCTCCTGGCTTCAGATCAGTGCAGCTCTGGCCATCGCAGTCAACTTGGGAGTAAACCAGCGGATGGAAGACTTCCCTCTTTCCCTCTCTCTCTGTGTAACTCTGACTTTCAAATAAATAAATAAATCTTTACAAAAGAGTTTACAGGCTTAAACAAAATACAAGGGCTTCTGTAGTTTTCTAAATTAACAGAGAAGTTTGTTCAGATTTTGACAAGGCACACAAAGGAAAATGGCTCTAAGAAGAAAAAGGAAATCAAGGCTTTACAGAAAATTAGTACCTAAGTAATCTTAGGGTTCAAAAAGTTCATGGAAACAGAATTAAAAGACCACTTTATTTTGGTGTAAAAAAATCAAAATCTATGTACTTATTCCATGAAATACACTTTCTACAAACATTTGAAGACTCCTCATATACATGGATTGAAATTTTTTTGCATCAAAATCAGCTTATCTTTTAATTCCATTTTTCCATGAATTTTCACTCTCAAAGGTTATTTATTTATTTATTTATTTATTAAAGATTTATTTACTTACTTGAATGAGCTACACAGAGGAGAGGAGAGACGAGAGAGGAGAGAGGAGAGAGAGAGAGAGACTTCCATCTGCTGGCTCATCCCCAACTGGCCGCAAAGACCGGAGCTGTGCCCATCCGAAGCCAGGAGCCAGGAGCTTCTTCCACTTTCCCACGTGGGTGCAGGGGCCCAAGGACTTGGGCAACCCTCCACTACTTTCCCAGGCCATAGCAGAGAGCTGGACTGGAAGAGGAGCAGCCGGGACTAGATCCGGTGCCCACATGGGATGCCGGCGCTTCAGGCCAGGGCGTTAACCCACTGTGCCACAACGCTGGCCACTCAAAGGTTATTTATAATCTAATACAGTAATCTCTTTGTGCTTTTGCTTTCCATAGCTTCAGTTACTTGAGATAAGTGGAAGTCTGAAAATATTGTTGTGACTCTGAAAAGAGAGAAAACTATAGTCATGTAATTTTTAGCACAGTGTATTTATAGTTCTTTTATTTTCATTTACTGTTGTTAATTTCTTGCTGTACCTAATTTGAAATTAAATTTTGTATAAGGAAAAATATGGCATATATTAAGATTTGGCACTATCTTGGGTTTCAGGCATCCCTGGTGAATAAACGTGGGCTGCTGTACAAATACCCGTGTATATTACAAGGTAGTATTCACAGTGGCAATTAAAATGTTCATTAAAAACTATTTTATGGGACTGCACTGTGGCGCAGAGGGTAAAGCCATCACCTACAATGCTGGTATCCCATATAGAAACCAGTTTGTGTTCCAAGCTGCTCCACTTCTGATCCAGTTCTCTGATGATGGCCTGGGAAAAGCAGCAAAAGATAGCCTAAGTACTTGTGTCACTGTCACTGTCACTGTCACCCTTGTGGGATACCTGGACAAAGCTCCTGGCTTCAGCATGACCCAGCACTGCTATAGTGGCCATCTGAAGAGTGAACGAACAGACAAAAGACCTGTCATTTCCCTTCTCTCTGAAACTCTTTCAAAATAAATAATTCTTAAAAAAAAAAAAAATATAAAAGCTAAAACTAAAAACTCCTTTTTGATATAAAATAAGTATTACTGAGAATTACATAGCCAAAGGTACTAATTTATTTACCAGAAACGAATATACTGATTTCAGAATGAATTTCATGTCTGAAAGAAAAATAGTTAAGAATATTAAAAAATTAGCAAATTTTTTAAAACCTGAAAAATGTTTCAGGTTTGATGGTTAAGATTCTTTTCAGGGCTATCTGTAATCAGTTTTATAGCAATTCTATTTTTTCCTGTTTCAATACAAATTTATTTCTATTTATTCTGAATACCCATGAGAAAAAGGAACCCCCAAAATAAATTACGTATAGAAAGCCTGTGAGAGATTGCCAATCTCCAAAACTTTTGGAAAAACACACTCACTTTTTACAGAGGTCAGACCAAAAATGAATAGTTATTTTAAGTCCTTATGGAAAAAAAAGACCCAATTTCATAAAATATTAAGATTACATGTGACCTTTCCAGAAGATACACAACACAGTCCCTGTAAGGGGAGGCTTAAAGGCTGAAATGTAGAGCAAAAGGTGGGTATTCTACATCTTTCAAGAATTCTGTCCATAAATTTAAATATTTCTGATCTGCAACCCAATATGTTTTTCATGTATTGGAATTAAAACATTTAAGGCAAAAATAAACTAACACATTATGAAACTAGTTTGACATATTAAATTGTATTTAGTTACACTGTGATTTTCCTTTGGCTCCAACATATGTCCTTTCATCATTTGGTGTATTTATGAACAATGTAAATTATTTTTACAAACTGCTTTTAGCATAAACAAAGCTTAATTAAAATGGTAAAGTTACTGCTAAAAAAGAATGGGTAGGTATAGGACGCAGTGGTTAAGATGCTGCTTAGGACACATGCATCCCTGGAATGCCTGGATTTGAATACTATCTCTACTCCCAATTTTTGCTTCTTGCTCAGGCACACCCTGGGAGGCAGCAGATGATAGCTCAAGTACTTGGGCTCCTGGCTTTGGTATTTGGGGCATTTGGGGAATGAACCAGTGTGTTTTTGTCTGCCTGTCTCTCTCCACCTTCCAAATAAATAAGAGATGAAAAAATTTATTTTATCTTTCAAAAAGCTATTAGGACACAATTCTTGAACATTATTTGTATTCAAAATTAGCTGTATGTGCAAAGAAAAGTCCCTGAAACATAGCAACATGATTGACAGTGATGAGTATTATTAGTATGTCCTTTTTAGATATACCAGTGGTGATAAAATTAGGACACAATTCTTTCAGTATCTAGCTGTGAGATTTTATTGGGCTTCAAGTCTTTCAGTATTAAAATGGACAAGTCATTGGTTTTTATGACAGCAGGAAAAATGTATTGAATGTTTATTATCTGCCATGCACTATTCTAAATATTTTAGATGCATTAAGTCACAATTCTCATAGCAACTCCAAGAGGTCAGTACTATTACTATTCCCAGTTTATAAATGAAGAAGCTGGTTGGTGGGCATGCACCAAAGTAACATGGTTAAGATCTTAGAATAGTCAATGAAACAGTCAGGATTCATATCCAGGCAGTCTGGCTCTAAACACTGTATTATTATTAATTATGCTGTATCACCTCCACAAAAGCTGACAAACAGAGCTAACCACTAGATATTCCTGATAGAAGGTAAATAAGTGATAGCTGTAATGTATTCTGTCGAATATAGATGTGGTAATGATATCTAATATTTAAGGAGCTTTTCTACACACACCCAGGTACTACTCTAATACTTTACATACATTAATCTACTTAGTTTTCATAACGTACGACATAAGATTCAAAGACATTAAGTAACTTACTGAAGGTCCTCAAGAGCCAAATCTTACTTAAACCCACAAAGTCTGATTGTAAAGCCTACACCCTTTTAAACATTATTATTTAGTTATAGGTCTGAGTTCAAAAGAATGTTAGAAGAATGCACATTCTCAAAGGAGAAAACAAAATAATTAGGTAAATCAAAGCTGGGTTCAGACTGACTTGATATCAGGAAAACTAAGGCAGTAAAGCAAGATTTGTTCTAAGCTCTGAATCATGTAGTAGGGCCCAGACAAGATCTTGCCCACTACCCAGAGATAGGTGGC